TTTTCTGCGCCTTGATTGAGTCCAGTGTTGAGGGGTGCAACCAAATACTCTTGATATTTTCGTCTTCGGCGCCGTTTAAATACAAAAATACTATGTCACCTTCATCACTGGACAAAATTTTCGTCAATGGTCGAACAAATTTTTTTATTATTTCCGTGTGAACTAGGTGTGTTTGAAATATGTTGAAGATCTCTGAAGGCTTGGCCTGGTGGTTAAGGTGTTCGCACTGGGCGCTAACTCGAAGGAGGGCTCAGATTCCCTGATGGACTAACAAAGTGTACTAATGGCTGGTTGCCTGCAGCCTTTGCAGATGGGATGAACAGCTCCATAGTGCCTGTTGAACGTGTGCAAACAGTCGACTACTCGGAAATCACGTACGTTTAGCTTCTACTTGTTTACTAAGAATTCAGTGACTGGTAATAGTGATAACTAAAACTGTGCTGAAGGATAAACTGAATGTCCACACGATGTATATATATTTCAAACTTATACTTTGTAATGACTATAATATCTTATATAATGTATTATAAATATTTACAATAATAAGATTTTGGGGGGGGGGTTAAAGGGCGCTGAATTTATGTGTCACGCAGGGCGTCATTAGACATAGTTACGGCCTTGAATGCAGCTCTTCTTTATGACGCTTTATCCACACGTGTTACAATTCTAAATTAACTGACCCCTAACAAGTCATAAATAATAAAGCAAAATGTATGTAATGGAATGAGTAAATGTATCACTATCAATAAGTGAGAAAATGGAATAAATAGAGTAAAACTTTAAAAGTTAATCTTACGTTTTTAAAAACAATGAAAATCAGTTCGATTTTATGTTCTAATTAGGGTGAAGGCCAGTATGAAAAACAAACTGTGATATACTTTTTCTTCTTCTTAGAAGTAACGTGTTGATTTAAAACAGGCCATGTAAGCGATACCAGAGGATGAAATATTTAATCGTACGTGTAGAATTGAGGGCATTCGTTGTACAAAAATACTTCTGAGCCTGCTACAAACGTTACGAGTTGAGTATTAACACTAGGCAACCTACATCGCAACTTCACACACACACACACAAATATTTTTTTGCAGTGCACTTTATTTACAACTTTTATTGTGCAGTTATTGTCAATTTACGATACAACAACGTTTTATTTAACGAATTTTGACAGAAAATTCTCTCATACATTTTCAGGAAAAGCTTTCGTAAATATCTGAAAAAAAAACAACTTTTTTCACTTTGATTTTGCCTTCTGTACAGAGTATTTTCTATAAATGATTGAATAATGTATTTAAATCCACTGTAAATCCTACTTCTGACTGTCACTTAAACAAATATGGTGTTAGACGTATCCATTTAGTTTACGTCATATATTCTTAATTAATATCAGATTTTCTGTTCTAGTTACATTTTTGGACTAATTTTATTCTTGTTTTTTCACACGACTTAGTTTAATCGTAGGACTTGCGTTAGCTGTCCACAACCAGTTAATAGCACCTACTGCCAACTCTAATCGAATAATGGAACTTAGTTATAACTCTTACAATGCACTCACGGTCCCAAAATTTCTGTGGAATAATAAACGTGTAGCAGGAAGACCACCATAGCAACATAAATACACTGATCTCACTGTGATTTATTGAAAGTGTATCACATCATTGTTCACAGAAAATTGATAGATGAAATATGCTCCAAAAACGTGTGCACAAAGTATTTGGCATTTTCAACCTGAACAGCACTATGTGACAGGAGCTGGATGGCCAGGTTCATAGCTCCTCTTAATTTTGAACGGATGACAAATAGGAGTGCAGCCAATCAGCAGCACATGCCGCCTACCCTTAACTAACTATCAGGGTTAACTGTTAAACCTGTGATTCTCCCAATGGCTGATAGAGATGAACATGTTCAGTAACATGTAATGGTTTGATCCTTAGACTTTCTGAGCTGCACAGTCTACAAAGACAGATCCCTCCAAGAACTCAGTGTAAATAGAAAATACAATTTAAAGATTGTGGTACATAAGAGGATTCCATGGATAACAACTCCAAAGATGTACTTTGAATTGTTAAAAGTCTCACTAACGAGTGTGTTTTTCTCCCAAAGGCTTCGTTACACCATCATTGTACAAGAAGACAATAACAGAGGTCACTTTAGGGATTTGGTTGTTGGGAAAATTAAAAAAAACTGTTGTGTAACAACTGTGAATATAATCGATGAACTTCCCAATTTAAAAATGTAGTGTTTTATTGAAGCATGTTTGTAAATAATTTCTTGACAGAAGTTTCAAAAGAAATTACACCGTAACAATTGGAAACATTTTTAATAGTTGAAGGTTTTGTAATTACACACATTCCATCATCAGCAAATCTGTGATTATTTTCTAGATGATGGAATGTGTTTAAGTCTGAAACATTCAACCATTAAGGCTGTCTATACTTGTTGCCATGTCTCTACTCTTTATAATTAGACATTATTTTCCACCAAATAAAACAATGGCACTGTTCTGCACACATATATACACCTGGAAAAAAGTTAAGCACCCCCGTGTTTTTTTCAAGTGATTCAGATTCGACGTTCTTGTGACTAATTATAAATTACCATTCAATCTAAACGTGTTTATC